GGGGGTGGTGGGGCCGGGAGCCCCACGAGCCAGGCAGCGCTCGGCTGGGATTTAAACGCTGGTGCAGGCACGCTATGAACGTGAAAACCCGCCCTGTGAGGGTCAAATCAAGCTTTGGGATGGCTGGATGGAAAAGAGACAGCGCTGGAGATGGTCAGCTTAGGTTGCTGGAAAACAGCCTGTATTTTTATTCCATCTTTAGATGCAGAAAGGTCTGGGGGGAGATGTCGGGACTCGGAACAAGATGTAGGAAAATCTGGAGATGCCAAAGCAAAACGAGTTGGGGCCTTGGACAGTTGGCACTCGAGGGGATGCTCAGCCTGGCTCGCGCCCTGCCTGGACCTCTGCCCATGGCCCCGCTGCCCATCGGGAGCCGGGGAGCCCCTTGGCTGGGGCACAGCCCTCTCCCTCCCAACCCAACCAGCTCAGCAGCTCCAAATCCCGTGGCAGGAAACCTTTTAAGGAAAATAGCTGAGGAACAAAGGGTTTGGGATGAATTACTCTCAACCCCATTCCCATCCGAGCAGCGCATTCCCCCACCGACAGCAGAACAGCCCGTCCCTGCCCAACGCCGCCCTGACACGGCATCCGCCATCGCACGCTGAACCCGTAATCATTTGCACACGAGGGGCATGTGCTATTGCCACAGTAACAATGACAGCAGGGGAAAAAGGTGCTGAAAATACTTTACCTTCAGTAAAACTGCCTATTTGGAGAAAGAGAAGCATAAAAACCTCAATGCACCCCTACAATACACACAAAAAAGCCCTGCAAAAGGATTTGTGCATCACAAAGACGTGGGATCCCAAAGAGATGCAAGGAATTTTGCCCGGCCAAACCCACTAGCAGCTCGTGGGTGTCTCTGTCTGCCAAACATCCCGACACCTCACGCGTGAGGCAATCGGTGCCGAGTCACTCCAGGCTACTCCCGGGCTGCGCCCAAGCCGTACCCCGGCCGTGCCGCCGCGAGCCGGCAGCCTCCAGCTTCCCCCTGGGCTGGAGGAGCCGCTCGTTCTCCTGCCTCCCGTCCGGCTCCTCACAGCTCAGCTCAACCCGCTCAGGACCAAATCTTCCTCCCCGGAAAGCATCAGGAAAGGGAAACGCGGAGCAGCCGCCCTTCAGCAAAGCATCATCATCAGCGCCGGCTATTTCAGGCTCATTTCTCAGGGTGCTGCTGCTGGAAAAAGCGCGGCTGGGAGCACTTCTGGCCCTCGAGGTGCCCCAGCACTCAGCCCCGGGCAGGCTGCCTTCCTCCGAAATGCCCGTACAAGACAAAGCTCAGTGCACAGCAACCTACGTGCAAAGAAACCCAACAGGGAAGTCCACAAAGCCAACCTTGTCCAGAAACCCGCTGACAGCGAGGAGTAGAGCATCATCTAAAACCACATTGGACCACATGCCAGGACACCGTTGCCGAGCCTTGGTGCACAACCTGCTCCCCACCACTTCTTCTCCACCCAACCTCAGCTTCTCCTGGCAGGCCTCCAAAGGCAACATCAGCTCGGAGCTCCTAAAGGGTTGCTCAGCCATAGCTGCTGTCCTGGGGATGCCCGGACACAGAGCATCTGCCGTAAGGCTTCTTGCACCATCTTCCTCTCCTTCCACGCGCCTTTGCCTGCTCTGACATGCCCTAAGACTAATGCCCTGGAGGGCAGAAGGTCCTCTGCAAGCCATCGAGCGGGGCTGGAGGCTCCTCTTCCACATCCCCCATGCAGGCAGGGCAGCTGGCATATTCTCCCGGGTCAGGACACATCCCTTCCAGGGTCAGCGTGCTTGAGTCCGTCTGTCCAGCTGTGGTGTCTGCCTGGCCGCTCGTTACTGCCCAAAGGTCTTTCTCTGGTGGGTAGCACCAGGCTGATGTCCTCTGTGTCACAGAAAAGAGTGGTGGCCCAGAGGGACCAAGCACCTTGTCCCAAGTCACGCAGGAGGTCCCCAAGCCAGGCTGGTGGGACCACCACCACCTTGTCCCCAGCAGACCAAGCCCTTCAGCGCAGAGATGCTCCTGGTTCTCCTCCTTCCATCTCCCCAAGGGAGCCTCAGGCTCTGCCACATCTCAGAGGCTTCTGCAGACTCCCAGACACCCAAGCTCCTCCAGAGCTGCCCATGGCTGGTCCAGGCCAGGGGAAAGGAGCCAGCAGGGTGGAGGAGCTGGACTGGGAAGCACAAAGCACTGCCGAGCAAGGTTGGTCCGTAAAGCAGCTGCTGCCGACGACACATCGGACAGACAAATATATCCCATTCAGCCTGAGCAGAGATGGTGGGACATGGCTTCCACTGAGGGTAAAAAGTCTCCCTTGCTGGTGTCACCAGCCACAACCCAAAGCCCTAGCGCCCTAAGTCCAGGGCATCCATGACTTATCCTAACGCAAACCTGATTCCTACTTTTTAGAAGAAAAAGGAGCCAAGAGAGCAATATCATTGTCAAAGATGCTCCGAAGAAACAACGCAGATGTCACATCCCAACACACAGGGACCTCGCCAACGACAAAGCCAACACCGCCAAACCTTGCGGTGGCCATGCTGATGCATCCCACGCATTTCAAGTTGCACAACTCTTCCAACAGGGCTTCACAGCCCCTTTGAAGGCCAGCACGGGCTCCTTACAACCACGTCCAGCTCAGCGTTTGCAAGCACGGTCCTGGTGACCCACCCAAGGGAGGTGGTGACTGCAGCTTGGCAGGGTGTTAATGTCCCCGCTGCCATGAGAAACAAGTCATTCATATGCAACTGCATGAGGCCAAGGCGATGGAAAACTACACCACGGAGGCTCCCCGCTGGGATGCTAAATCAGTGCTTTGCTCCGCTTGCTTGTCTGATAGACGTAGAGGCCACCCAAAGGCACCCTTCCATGGGGCAAACGCGGGCAGGTTGGCGCCAGCCTGCAAACCCGGCTAGGGGCAGCCCCGTGCAGGGGAGCAGGGGCTGGGACAGGATGGGTTTCAGAGCGTGGCACCCCTCGCGGGATGCAATCGGGGCCCCGTGCTGAGCCCCGCACCAAGGAGCACCCCCCTGCCCAGACCGTCTCCTTGCCTGCCGGGGGATGCCACGTCCAAGAAGGAAGGTGCTGCGCATCGCCCCCGACCACGGTCCCACGGCACCCGCAGCAGCTTCTCGCAGGGCTCCCGTAATAAAATTCAACCCAGCGGCAGCAAAAGCCTCCCAGAGCCCAGCACCGATCCTGGACACAGGTGGTGGTCCACAGGCAAAGTCGCTGCTCTCCCCCGGAGCCGCCCCGGAGCTCCAATAGCTGCTCACCAGCACACCCAAATTTTGGGCTTGGATTTCAGCTCCGGGCTGCCGCGTGCCAGGGAGCCCCAGCAGGATTTTCCTTGGGGTTTCCAAAAACACGAGCTGGCACCGCAGTGGCAAAGAGGAAAGGAGGAGAGGCAAAACAGAAAACCGACATGGCATAAATCAAAGCACTTAAAAACGGGACTTACCGTCCTCAATGATGACCTTGATGAGCCGAACTGAACCGTTTCGGGCTTTGGCAAAAAAGTCCCTTAATTCCGTAGTGGCTGAAAGAACCAGAAACATCGTGATCAGATTTAGCAGTCAAAGCAGGCGCTGGGCTGCGCGGCGACCGGCCGGGGAGGGGAGCAACTTGGCAGGATAGAAGTTTAAAAATTAAAAAAAATAAAATCTCTGGTGCCAGGAAAATGGTAATAAAAATAATAATACAAAACCCAAACAGCTGGGAGCGAAGTGCTGCGTCTCCCCGAGGCGTCAGAGTTAAACAGCAGCTGGGAGCGCATGTGATCCAGAGAACTTGATACTTGGCCTGGGTGAACATAATCACCCAAATTTAGACGATGGCTTGGCCAGTGCAGGCGAGGAGAGCTCAAGTGACAAGTTTATTCGCTTTACAGAGCGGCAGGCTTTGCATATGGGGGGTGGCTGGAAGATGTCCCGACAGGCTGTGACGTCCCGGGCTCGTGACACACAGCGGGGATGCTGCTCCCGAGAAGGCTGGGGACCAGCACAGCTCCAAACTGGAGGCACTGGTTTGAAGCCGAGCCCCTGGAGCAGGGAAAGGCAACGGCCCCAGGATTTTGCTCCGGAGCTGGCGGGGTTTTGATTGCTGAAGGCTTTTAGGAAGTGTTTTGGGGAGCCACCTTCCTCCTCATCCCCTCTCCCCGAGCACCAGGCACCGGCAACCAGCCTTCAGCATCCTACCAGGAGGCAACGGCGGGCAGGAGAAAAGCATCACCAGTGCAGAGCTCCCCATCCCGCCTGGGACATTCTACGTGCGAAGGCAACACCCAAGAGATGCAGCTCGGAGGGGCCAAGCCCCCCGACAAGGAGCATCTCCCAGCCCAGGGAGCACCCAGCCACCTCCCAGCCCAGCTCCCCCTGAAAGCC